CGTATGAACAGCTTCATACAATCCCATACGTTCTATTTTGACACATAGTTACCGCCTAGCGTTTTCGCGTCCGTGCGAACGCTCGCTTATACTTACATTGGAATTCTTCAGTACAATTCTCCTTTCTTTCATTGTATAGGCAAAGTTTCTTGGTCTTTTTCTGTTCGCCGATGAATTTACTTGTAGAGTCTGACTCCATCCAAGCTAGATAGCTGGGCTCAAACTTCTGATAGTAAGACAACATGGTCTCATATAATGGCCATGAATCCGCTCCTCCTGTGCCATTTCTTAGTTTACATCTGTGTTTACGCTGCAAATATAATTATATTGGGAAAATTTGTATATAACATAAAGATCCAAGTGGGAACCGAATTTAATTCTTTGACTGTACACACTGATATATAAAAAAAAACATTGATTTTGGCGGTAAAGGTAATGAGATGAATGCATTATTACTGTGAGTTACTTCTATGGGAATAAATTTTAAATTTTTTAAAGTCAGTTTTTTTATTTATATAATAATACCTGAAATGTCATTCTTAAATGATGCCACAATCCTTTTAGGTCCTGTATGAAGCAATCTATAGGTAAATTTTCAAGACGCAATGATTTTTCCACAGTCCTGAAACAAATATTTGTATAAGTAAAATATTCAAATACATTCAGTGGACTTATGTAAAAATTTACTTACATCCACATTGTCTGGAAATCCAACTTGAATTGCTTTGTCTCAGATATACATGAGATCAATTTCAAACGCCACTCATTATTCCCTGAATTAAAAAAAAAGTATAAAACAATGGAAAAAACCACAGTGACATATGCAATTTTTCCATATTTCTTAATTCACTTAATTACTACATAATATATTTTACATGATTTATATAAAACTAGCTTTCTCCCGCGACACCGTCCGCGCGGAATTAAAAAAAAACAAAAGTGAGTAGCCTATGTGTTCTTCCAGACTATCCTCTACATCTATACCAAATTTCATTGAGATCCCTTCAGCCGTTTAGGCTACAAACTCTAACAAACATCCATCCATCCATCTAAACTTTCGCAATTATAATATTAGTAAGATAAAACATATAATGTAAAATTTGAGCACCACCAGCTGTAAAATCTGGTGACTCATGCAACCAGTGGTATATTTATTATTGTAGTTTTCAAATCAATATTATATCATCAATCATTTACAAATGCGAAATTTGAGATGGATGGATGAATAGATGTTTGTTAGAGTTTGTAGCCTATACAGCTGAATAGATCTGGATGAAATTTAGCATAGATGTATAGCATAGTCAAGAACACATAGGCTACTTACTATGGTTTTTAAATTTCATGTGGATAGGGTTGCGGGCAAAAGTCGTGAATATGTCCTATAATACTTACATGATGAATATTTCTCTAATGCTTTAGATATTTCTAAGTTTTTTTCAAATAATTTGTAGTATTTCCAACTTTTGTTTTTAGTTTTCTTTGCTATTTTGTACATCTGTAACATTAATTGATCATTGTTTATAACAATTAGCTAGTATATGAATTAATTTTGACTCCCTTAATTAAGTAAACTAAATTAAAATGTAGTAGTTTGTAAAAAATAGCAAAACAAAAGAATAAAACACACTTTAATGTTTTAATTATTTTGTTTTTATTATAAAACATACTTACATCATATGTGTATGACCATTTCTTTCTAACATGGTCAATGGTCATTTCCTCTGGAAATCCACTTTCAAGAAGTATGCTATAAAATTCCCTAAATAACAAAAATAGTAAATCATGATGAACAAGGCAAGAATTTTGTTTACATATATACTACATTTCTATAGTAGTGCATCCTATCTATACCATTTGCTGGCTTTTGGTAAAATAAGGATTCTAATAACAAATAAGGTTAATACAATAATAATATACAGACAAACATGCTTACTTCCATGGTTGTTTCTTTTTTTGAAATAACCATTCGTTTTCAAATCGTGCCTCTAAAAACTTGGTAACTAACTCAGGAGTCCCTAAAATACAAATTATTATCGTTTTATTTTTGAAAAATAAGCACTAGGAAACGATTTTAATTGATTTCCTACTTACAAATAAAAGTTTTATCTTCCATATTTGATTTAGGTAAACTGTGGCTTCGTTCTGGTAAAATAATGTAAATACACTTAGTTGAATTCTACTTCTTAATTGTCTCTTTTATTAATAAATATGGTTTTCTTATAATTAATAGCAATTTTTGTTTAATAAATTATTTATTTATTAATGTCAAACATGACAATGACAGCTAATTGACAACAATGAAACAATGGTACAAACCATAGACCAACGTTTTTATTGAAAGACTTTAGTTGACAGTTGACAATGTTTTTCTATACTCTGTTTCTGTACATTTGTATTTCAATTTCTGAACTTTTTACGGAATCTGTGATTATTTTGATATTTTTTTTTAGTTTGAGACTTCAATTTCACGTGGTTTTCGTAAAAGTGCCCTATTATCGGCATGCTTGATTTTGCATATTTGTGATTTGTATTCTTAAGTGATATGCACCGTCTCATTTCAGCCAAGAAAATCTACCCTGGTACTTTTCACGGGGTTGGTTTACCTCAATGTACTTTAAAAATTATACGAGCTGCGGATTTAAAATGTTCATTCTGTCAAAAGGTTTTTCTCCAGGCACAAAATCGAGGTACGGATTTTATCCTTAAGAAATGGGGTTAAATAATCCGAAGATAAACTTTGTTTTAAAAGCGCTGCGCTTTTATTTATAACCTTATATTTATGTGTTGCATAACTTTTCGGCGTTGTTTTAGAGTTCAACATTCTCACGAGGCATCAGTCAACAAAACCTGCCAGCGTTAGATCGCATAAAAAAAAGCTAAAACATAGCAATTACAAAAAATATGGAGAGCTGCTTGAAGGTATAATGTTTATTTTAATGTCATCGGATGTTTTGGTTTCCAAATGTAAACAACGAATGTTATAATTCCAGTTGGAGAGTCTGCGATGACAGAGATGAAGGTGTCAATCAGTAAATTACATGCTACACACTTATCCAAACTAGCCTCTAGTTCCGTTTCACTTGGTCAACTTCATCAACTTACTAAAAAAACTACAAAAAAAGATAACATAAAAGTAGATCAAGAACTACTGCAGAGTGTTAAAGAGAAGATTTTAAAGAACACAACAGTGCCAGTGATAAACAAAGATATAAAATTAGAAGATGATGAATGTGCTTTAGTTTTTACTCATCATAAAATATCCACAATTGAAGAAAGGTTTAAAACCAGTCAGTATATAAATATGGTGAAAGAGAGTTATTACAATTTTCGTAGGGCTACAATCTATGATCAGCGTTTGCAGGATTTACGGTATGCTATTAATGAGGGACTGACACAGGAGTTTGACCTTGGCATGTCTCCGATTAAGAAACCAGATAATGTAAATGTTGAGTCTCAGGTGTTACCAAAGGGTCCCCATGCTGTTTTCAAAGAGTTGTTTGTAGATAATCCATTGGAAAATTATGATAGAGAATTTATGAACCAAATGTCCAATTACCAGTAAGTATGCAACTTTATGTTTATAATCTTGTTTTAGTTAATGGAAGCTAATTATGGTAGACTAAATAACTTGAATTATTTTTGAGGACATAAAAATGTTGGAATACAAATAGACTGATAAAAAAACTTACTATTTGTAAAAGAATTATTAAGTTTTGGAGGGTAGTTTTGTGTTTATCTTTATTAAAATAATAATCTTATTTAAACACAGATAATTATTATTTCAGACTTCAAGGTATTGCCCACCCTGCGCTAGATGTTTGTGAAGAGTCAGTATTTCATCATGAAATAGAACCTAGAGATGATTTTGATGAAGGGCTGAGTGAATCTGTCAATGTTAAGAAGTTGAACATAAAGAAAGCGTAAGAATCATATATTTTTATTAAAATGTACTGTTACTTGCAAAAGCTAATATTGTGGTCTCTACTAATTGTAGCTTAATTAAATTTACTTTTAAACTTGTCTATGTCTGATTTATTTCATTGTTGTTTTATGTTGATTTACCGTTTAAGTATTAAATGCATATCAATCTTTTGACACAGTTTATATAATAAACAAATAATTTTAGAACTTACGACTATACCTTGGTCACATAATTTCTATTTATTTTACAGTCAGCAGGCAATAAAGCAAAAAAAGAAGAAGATGAAGGAGAAACGCAGAATGGCCCAGGAGATCAATATGAAGCAGGATATTCGGGAGTTGGAGAAGCGAGGCAAACAGCAAGCATTGCACAAGCTGCTCACTGCGCATCTGCAGCTTTTGTGTTCACTTAATATGATACAAGAGGTAAGAAATATAACATAATATTTTGATAATAAAAAAAAAACAAAATCTGACTGACACCAAGAAGAATCAAATGTCACCTTACTTATTGATATGAGTTCAGGTGTTTAGGTTTATGTAAGTTCCTTTGAAAGTCATTTACAATACATACAAACCCACATACATAAAAGTATACACATGTAAAACATTATTCTCTTATTAGTCAGGTTAAAATATTATTAAGTCTGCTAAGTTTGGTTATTAGCTAAATTGCTAAAACTACATTTTACCACCATCCGTCTGTGTCTAGATAACCTAAATTTAAGGCAGTAGCTTGCCTGATTATTTTTATCTATGTGCAGAAAGATGAATTTGATAACATTTTAAATAACACAGATTTTGGGTTGTTTGATTTTAATATTTTACTTTGATTTACTAAGCTAGTAGGTTTATTGGAATGTATTATTAAAAGTGATTTTAGACGAATAAGGTTGATGACCCCACATATTATCATTCAGAACTGGTTGTAGAAAAATATAAATTCTTAGTAAATTTATTTTACAAAGCTGTACACTTTTATGATTTTTTTATTTCCAGGGTCATCAAGTTTTACAGTATTACAGAAAGAAGCAAGCACATTCACACGACAATCCTAAAATTATGGATGTCAAAGTTTACAATACATTGCTGCATGGGTATGCATCACAGGTAACATGTTACAGATAAATTACCTTTCTAACGTAAAAGAACTTTTAAAATCAGCCCAGTCGTTTTTGAGGTATTTCATTACGTACAAAAATACAAATCTTTCCTCATTATAATAGATAAATAATTAAATTTAAATTACTAATGCAAAAAACATTAAGTCGTGTCTTTGACTTTAAAATGTTACTTTTTGTTTTTCCAGGGAAAAATAGATAATGCCAAAGAACTCTTGTCATTTATGGAAGAGGATGGAATAACTCCCAATGCTCAAACATTTGCAGCAATATTTGAATGTATAGAGAAAAGTGTGACTAAACAGAAGCCAACAGTATTAGAATTCTATAATCAAAAGATGCAAGAAAAGGTAACAAAAATTCAAAATATCTATTTTGTGGTTATATAGTTTGACCAAGGATATAAAAATTCTGACCAGGAAGCGACTTCATTGCGTTTTTTGTTAAATTAGTTTCTATTTGAAAAATAAAGTGGTTTAATATTTTTTTCTCAAAATGGCGTAGTATCTATAATGAGGGTTTTTAAAAATTCATATAAGTTGTTTTTTTCAGGGTATTACATTAAATGATCTATTAGATAAAACAAAGTTTGTCTATGATCAGCGTGAAGTTGTATTAAACGCAATTCATAGATTGCAACCTGATTTTGTACCAACTTACACTCCACCAGTCCTAGATTACGACTGTCCGTTACTGGAAAAATTAAAACTAAATGATACAACAAATAGAAAAGGCCTGCTTAGTTCACCAGCTGAAGGGCTACTCAGTCTAGAAGATATGAAGAAGAAAGGACAGATGCAGTTTGATATGGAGATTAACGGAGAAATTGAAGTTCAAAATATCGCAGTGCAAGATGTTGAAACAGAGAGTGTGAAATTATATGTAAGTTATCATGATTTTATCTTAAATTTGTTTAGATTATCAATATTTTGTTATTTAGTGACTGAAAATTAATAAAAACAGTCATACAAATGTTACACTTACTCAAATTTGAAATTACTTCTTAAACAATAAACTAAACAAACACAAACAAGTGTTTTTTTAATAAACTACAATTATAAATGTTATATCATTTATTGTGTTTTTTTTTGTTCCAGAGGGCAAAGTTACATGAAACGGAACAAGAGTGGCGTACAGTTATAAAGGAGGCGTTTATACGTAACCTAAGTACTTTGAAGTCTCAAAGCAACGCCTCACATTCTGCTATCACTTTGTACCCTTATCTTAAAGTTTTAGAGGTAACATATTATATAATTAGCCCATATGTTGTTCCAAACTGCGTTAAATGTTTTTGCAAAATTTCATTGACACCGTTGAGCTGTTATATACATAGTAACAAACATCCATCCATCCACTTACATATAAACTGTATTACATAGAAATAAGATTTTAATGTATGTTAAAGTTTTAACTTTAAAAAATAATAAAGAAATAAATATACACACGCTCCCCAAGCCCCATAATAAAAAAAAATGTTAGGGGAAAAAGGGCGGCATAGAGCCCTAATAAAAAACAAAAAAAAAAACATCCAGCCAAGTATTGGCATTTATAATACTCAGTGGTAAATTAAATTCTGACACATTAATAAACGAGGGTTTTTTTTTTTGTAGGTGGATCAATTTGTAGAACTAATGATGGGTGAGATTTACAAGTTAGTTGATGGCAGTGAGAGTTACAGTCCTACTCTCAAACTGTTGCAGCGCTCTCTCGGCACTCAAGTATATCATAAGTAAGTATGTTACGAAAATTGTTTAAAAACACCCTGATATAGGTTTTATACTTGGTGTATATCTAATGTCAACCATAGGGCACAAGCAAAGATATTGTTTAGGATTACAGGATTTTTTCATTAATTTCTAGGAAACAGTTAATAGTTATATAGGTAGTCTTAATGTTAGACTTTTCTGTGCCATGCTTTATTTTTTTTTTGCATTTTGGAAAAAAATACAGGCTTTAGCTCATGACTTAATTTGTGTGGAGTGAAAAAGTTTGGACATAAATGTAGTAGTTAGTAAGAATATGCCTTTTTATGGTAAAAGAATGTTTAAAATAGGTCGAGTAATTTTCAACTTTCTTTGTTACATACAAAAATAAAAAAAAAATGTCTTTATATTACATTTTTTGTATTAGATATCAAATAGAGCAGTACCGACGTAACGGCGTGCTGAATAAAATGGAGCAGATATACGAGAAGTACTGCGAGTGGTACTTGCAGCGGCGCTCCGTGGACGGCTCGCAGCAGCCGTACAACGGCCGCCAGGCGTGGCAGGTGCTGGAGCATCTCAACAGAGATGGTGCTAGTCTGGTGAGTTCATAGGAAAAAACATCAAAATATCAGAAATATTGTGCATTTTTAATGTCAGGACTGGTTATTACAGTGAAAGTCTTAGGGCCTGTCCCACCAGATTTTAAATTGATAACAATTATATGTGACATGTGTGAGGGAAATATCGGATTTTGTTCCCTTAGCTGATAGTGTCGTCATTTTTAAGCTACCTGAGTTTCTATCAGCCAGAGGTGGGACAGGTCCTTAGCCTAAATGTCGCAACGATTAGCTTCTTTTTTACATCACTATCTAATGAAAATAATTATTTCCATATTTTCCGTAATATGGCAAGAGTTTTATATTTCTGGTTATGCTAAATAGATTTGAAAATGTCTCTTTGACCTATATTCGTTCAAGTAAGTGAACTAGTATCTATTTTACAGGATTTAGATGAGACACCATGGCCCATGGAAATGCGTCAGAATATCGGAAAGTTTTTGTATAACATCATTATTAATGATGTCAAAATAGATGTCAACATTTTTAAAGCAAATCACAAACAGTAAGTATCAGTATGTTATTTTTTAAATCTACAAAACAAATTTACCTAAAAACCATAACCAGTTTGCAATTATCTAACAAAACTCTTGTTAACGGTAAATTAATAAGAAAAGATAGTATACAAAACACTAGCAGTTGCTCACAACTCCGTCTGTGTATTAAAAAAATAATAAAACTATGTCCTATGTTACTCAGTGATAACATAGCTTTTTAATGGTGAAAAATTTTTTAAAATCAGTCATTTTTTGCGTTATTCCCATACGTACAAAAATACAAATCTTTCTTCTTTATTATGTTACTATAGATTTATATATTCTAGTTCTGTATTCATCAAAATTTGCATGGGCATGCTATGAGGAGGGATGCATCGCATGTGACGAGGAGAACGTTAGTTATAAGTGTAGGACACTGGTAGAGACCTATAGAGAGTTGGATGGATTGCGTGAAAGGTGACGATCAAGAAGGGAGTGATGAATGAGATGAACGATGATAGTTATGTGGAGGACAAAAACCTGTTGCGCCGATCTTTCGGTAGTAGGATAAGATGATGGTTGTTATTTCAGAAAGAAGCTACCAGCGGTATACAAGGTGCACCGTCCGTGGGGCTGGCTGGTGCGGCTGGAGCTGAAGCCGCACCCGGCGGTGGCGCGGCTGTGGGCGGCGGCGGCGCGCCCCGCCCTGCGCCTGCGCGCCGCGCTCGCGCCCACGCGCGCCCCGCCCGCGCCCTGGCGACACCACCGCGCCGGCGCGTACCTGCTCACTGACACTCCGCTCATACGGTACAACGCTACTACTCCGTTGCAATACCTCAGAAACTATATACAAATTGAGTTTTGATACCCATATCGCTAGTAAAATCAACAAAATATGTCAAAACCCAAAGGAATATAACCGTGTTGAACACGTGACCTCTCTAAGGTTAAATATGTATGTAATTTTAGACTGGAGGGTCAACACAATAATCGAATAATACTTTGTCTAAGGGGATTTGTCAGCGACTTCCTTAGAATTGAACGACTCCAAAAACCATATGCGCTATTTCAGATTAATTTATATGTTCCAATAGTCATCCAAATTCATTCAGCGAATCTGAAATGACGCGGTAACAAACATCCACCCAAACATTCATATTTGTAATCAGTGAGATTTCTGAATTTTCACACAATCAAACATGCGAGAGTAACTAAATTTTAACTAGGCAGTTATAAACTCATTTTTTTATGTACCAAACTACATTTACTTTAGTAAATGTCTTAAACATTTAAATTTCTTAACAGGTTGCCATTTTACGTGTCAAATCAAATGAAGCGGATAGAAGAGTCACCTCAACAGGCGCTGTACCCTGTGCTGGACAGCCTCAACCAGCTGGGGGAGGTGCCCTGGGTCATCAACCAGCCTATCCTGGACTTGCAGATTAAAGTTTTCAGGTATTTAATTAAAACATTGTAATTTCTCTGTTGGATTAGCCTTAGTAGTAAAATGGTACATTATTAAGCATTTGAAAATATAGGGGTTTAATTATTAATTAAATTTTTGAATTAACGCATAAAATACAAGTCAAACCATCATAGACAGCTCTTAATATAAGTAAATGTTTCGTTACAGGTCAGGTGGAAACAAGAAATTGGATATTCCGTCCCCGGCGTCGTCACTGGACGCGTCTCAGTTCCCAGGGGGCGGGGCCGGCGGAGGCGGGGGCGGGGCCAGCGCCGCCGCCAACTTCAAGCGACGGCTCGCTATCAACCGCGCTCGCGCAGACATGCACTCGCTGTGGTGCGACGCACTGTACAAACTATCACTCTCTAATCATTATAGGTAAAATACATTTTTATGCTATAGGTAATAGTAAAAATAGCTACAGGAATTTCATTAAAGATCCCTTAATCTTCAAGTATTATAATATTAATATTGTTGTAATTTTGACTAATATATGTACGCAGCTAGAACTGTTAATCATACACTTATACTAATATTTTAAATATGAAAGTAACGAATGCGTGTTTGTTACAAGATTCTCTCAAACTGATCTCTATAATCTATCAATACATATAATAAAATTGGACTGTCTGTTTGTAACATTATAAAAAAAAATTCCCGATATTGGAAAGATGATGTATTTGCGATGCTATAACGAAAATAGCATTGAAAAAAATTGTGTTAACAACGTAAATTAAAAAAAAGAGTTACTTTTTCATTAGTACATTTTGTAATGAGTGAATATTGGTGTATCCAGGGACAGTATGTTCTGGTTGCCGCACAACATGGACTTCCGCGGGCGCGTGTACGCGGTGGGGCCGCACGTGTCCGCGCTGGGGGCGGACGCGGCGCGCGCGCTGCTGCGGCTGGGGCGTCGCCGCCCGCTCGGGCCCACCGGCCTGCGCTGGCTGCTGCTGCACGCTGTCAACCTCACTGGCACCATGAAAAACAACACCCTCGATGAAAGGTACAGGCGGGGAAACTGGCAATGTTCAACAAAGCTAAAAGCGGCCACTCGGATCGCCAATTTGGCAAAGCGACGGCTGCCCATTCGCAATAGCGCATGTGTTGCCTATCCTTAATCGACGGAGGAGGAGATGCTCATAGAGAGGATGTTTCTCCTTCCTATGTGTCTTCACCGTCAAATTCACGTTCCCTTTTTTTATAATGCAAATGTCTATAGGTAAAGATCGCTTCGCTATTTCGGCAAATGCACGTGGCCGCTTTTTCATTTGCTACCTTTATAATAAAAAAAAATGATACACGTTAAAAGGCATTTTGTCATAGGTTACTCAGTTTTCAAAAAAGTTTTTCGTAAAAACATCAAAAATTACTTTTTTTTATAAGTTCTGTATTGTTTTCAGATACGAGTACGCGCAGAGTATATTGGACAAGATCCTGGACTCGGCGGACCGGCCGCTGGAGGGCGAGGGCTGGTGGCAGCGCTCCGAGGAGCCCTGGCAGACGCTTGCCTGCTGCATGGAGATCGCCAACGCTGTCAGGTCTCCCAACCCTGAAGGTAATCTATCATGATGTATACATTTTTCTCTTTCTTAAAATTTCTTAAAATTTCATTGTATACAAGCTGCCGTAAATTTTGTTAGCGCGCGGAATAAAAAATAAGGTAGGTTTTAACATGCCCGCGTGAATCATCTACCTTCTGGTCAAAGTCTCGTTAAAAACGTACTACCCGTTCTGGTGATTACCGAAACAATTACATTTTGCGGACAGACGGGCAGAAAAAAATATGATTTCGTTATTAGCAACGATACATGTCCGAGAATTCGTCATCTATCTCCTTATCCTACTCCTCTAATAGAGCCAGAGAAACAGGATTTTATCCTCCTTATATTATAACTTTCCACACTAATTTTCGAGAAATCTGGATTTTTTTGATGTTATATACACTTCAATTTTCATTAAAAAAAGATTTTTTCAGAAATATGCTGTAATTGCTGACATCTTAGGCAACAAAGAAGTGTGTGTTTACACTTTATTATAATAGTATAGATATAGATTAATTAATGTATGTTTTGTGTATTTGCAGAGTACTTGTGCGGGTTCCCGGTGCACCAGGACGGGTCCTGCAACGGGCTGCAGCACTACGCGGCGCTGGGCGGGGACGCTGCGGGCGCGGCCGCAGTCAACCTCGCCCCGCTGCCGCGCCCGCAGGACGTCTACACCACTGTCGCTAAAATGGTCAATTTCACTTTTATACTAATGAAAAAGGAATTTTATGACAGATTTTTTGGATTTTTGTATGCATTGGAATAACTCAAAAAATAATGGATCGATTTCAAAAAATCTTTTACTATTACAAAGCTTTGTTATCATTGAGAGGCTAGATTATTCCTTTTTTTAATTTCACGCGAAGTCGCGAGCAACAGCTAGTACCATATATATCGTATATGCTTATACTGTGCTTTTCCACTGTTGTATAAAGCTATCTTTCGGTGTGGATTAAAAAAACAAAAGTAAGTAGCTTATGTCTATCCAGACTTCTTCCTTAATAAAATCAAGAAATCATCAAGGTTCATCAAGTAACCATCGATCTAACCTTTCGCATTTATAAGATTAGTAAGATTGCAATACTTACAATAAGAGCATCCGAAAACGACAAACATGATGCGTTTAAATGTAGAAGCGAGAGAGTGTGTTCTCTGCTTACCTTTCTGAGTAACGGGCGTGAGTTATGTTATTTAATATCTTTCATTCACTTAGGAAAGTGGTATAGGCAGTAATTTAAAACAACAAATTTAGAATATACAAAAATTTAGCGTCAATATATCTTTAAACAATATATCATTGTGCAAATATTATAGTAAAAAAAACGGGATATTCAAACACACAATATGTTTGAAAACTTTATTAGCTTTAGTAGTATACAGTGTGAACTCTAATGATATACAGTTAAGGTATGTTTTCGCTTGCAGGTAGAGGAGATGCGGGCGCGCGACGCGGCGAGCGGCGTGCCCGCGGCGCAGGTGCTGGCGGGCTTCGTGCGCAGGAAGGTGATCAAACAGACGGTGATGACCACCGTGTACGGAGTCACCAAGCACGGCGCCAGGCTGCAGATCGCTAAGCAGTTGAAAGGTACCACTAACCCCTTCTTACCCTTAAATGCATAATAGCATATAATATTTAACGACGGCTACAAGAGATGTATGGAAGACCAGCACATACTGTGCCGACCCTCCGTAAGGGATAAGGGCAAGTTGATGATGACGATGATGCATTTATACATCAGTCTATTCTTCTTCACACAATAGATTTTTGAGAAATCATTTTTTTCTTTATTTTTCTTTAATCTATACTTAATATACTACCCGTTTCAATTTTAGGTATTTAAAAAAGGGGAAAAAGGCATTTAAGGGTTTATCTCTCCCCCCCTCCCTCTTTTCGTTCTCCTTTCGTTCTAACAATAATGTTTTTGTAGATATCGAGGAGTTCCCCAAGGATCAAGTGTGGGCATGCTCGCAGTACCTCACCACGAAGACCTTCGACAGCCTTCGGGAGATGTTCACCTCCACCAAGCTTATACAAGACTGGTTCACTGACTGCGCTAAGTGAGACTTGCATTCTCTTGTCATTATAAATTGATATTGCCTAAACAACAGAAACTTTCGCGTTTCGTCTGATGAGTGTGGTCCCCGAGGTCCAACTTTAGTCCCTTTTTTTCCCACCCCTTTACTTATAAAAAATGGTAGGAAGAGAACGTGTACTTGACGCTGGAGACGCATTAGAGAGGGAAATATCCTCTTTATGTGCGTTTCGTCCACCGTTGATTAAGGGTAGGCAACGCATCCTCTACTACGAATGTCTGAGCAACGGTCACTTCGCCTTTGTGGAGGATTCCGGCTTGCTTGTTTGCTACCTTTAAATAAATAAAAAAAACTTCCACGTTCTCATATTAAAAAACTTGTATTAGACTATAAATACCTTTACCATATTCCGGAAGTATATTGCATTTTTTCGTATATTACAAATTGATTTTCTAATCCATTTTATAATCTTTATGAGTGTACATTTGAATGTATGTGTTTGTGTGTGTGTGCAGGCTGATATCGGGCGTGTGCGGCGAGAGCGTGGAGTGGGTGACGCCGCTGGGGCTGGCCGTGCTGCAGCCCTACTACCGCCGCGCGTCGCCCGCCACCGCCCTCGCCGCTCCGCTAGACCATCACCAGTCAGTGTCAAGCCATGCATTACATTATAATAAAAAATATAAGTGTACAGGCTTTCAAATATGTGATCTGCTCAGAACATCGTGTTTTTCAAAACAATTTTATGCTGTAGCTTAACAGATGTGGAGGAGGGTACTACGGTATAAATCTTATTTTCTACCCCGTATTTCTGATGATCCTAAATATTGTATTTAAGACCTAATATTATTTTTAGGCAATTTTGCTTATAAATCAGGTTAGGAAGAAATGTCGTATTACGGTTATGACTGTTCAGATAGTCATTTTTTTTAACATAAATAAACCATCGCTTGACCACGACTCCACCTCACCTAAGTGAAGACGCGGCCGAAGGATAGAGCGCGCTAGCTTAATAAGTGCCGATTCACCCCGCTCTTGAAGGCACCCACGTTATAACGTGGGTGCCTTCAAGAGCAGGGTGTGTTATAACTGGACGGGAACACTGGGGCAGCCAACTTGTTCCATTCCTTTGATGTGTGACATTATCATATTATAACATTTTCTATATTATTCCAGACGTCCGTGCACAATGAAGCAGCGCAACGCATTCCCGCCAAACTTCATCCACTCGCTGGACTCCACGCACATGATGACTACGGGGCTGCACTGCGCCGCCGCCGGGCTCGCCTTCGTCTCCGTGCACGACTGCTACTGGACGCACCCCGACACCGTCGACACCATGAACAAGGTGCACACCGCCACACTTTGCCGACATGACGTCATAAGACGACGAGGTGTCCCCACACTATGTCGACATGACGTCATAATACACCATTAAGCACCCACTAGTGTGGGTGGGCATGTCAATGTAACGTGTCGACGTAGTCGTCGACACGTTACATTGACATGCTTCCATATTAAGCCGACGCGCCCACACACTACAATATGACGTGATATTAAGATGAAATGCCGCCACACTATGTCGACATGACGTCATAATACACCATTAAGCACCCACACTACGCCGACACGCCCCCACACTACATGATGTCATATTACGAAGAGATGCCCCCACACTACACCGACATGCGTACACACTATGCCGTCAAGCTGTCACACAACACTCACACACCACTTTCGATATACCGTTATGCCGCATCCTTACCAATACATTATGCCACGCTGCTCTCTTAAAACTTCCACCTTCCTCTTAAATCTACCGTAAAACACATTGTTTTAGATACTTGAACCATTTAAATAAACATTTAATTTCGTATTATATTTCAAAGCACAGTTTAATGTTCCTAAATGTACATTTGTCTGTCAGATTTGCCGTGAACAGTTCGTGGCGTTGCACTCGCAGCCGATCCTGGAGGATCTTTCCAAGTTCCTCGTGCAGCGCTACAGCTACTCTCAGAGGTAAATAAATTTTATTATTTGGTGTACGTATAAAAATTATTCTAAAACTAACAAACTAATATATGTTTCAGTGAAATAGATACAGGCGAAGGTTTAGGCACAGAGAATAAGAAGCGTGTGAACAGCGTGTTGGGGCGCGTGCCGCCGCGCGGAGACTTCCACATCGATAACGTACTCAAATCTGTGTATTTCTTCAGCTAGATAATAAATACACTCGAATTATGTCCACTCAGGTTGTAAGTATTTTTATATTTGACGTTATACATATCTCATTGACTATGAGAAACATTTGATTTAATTACAAACATTTATTAAGGAGGGTTTTCTCATACGATTTTGACCATATTTTAAAAGTGAAAAAGTAGTCAAGGGCAATATTATGTAATCACTGATTTTAATAAATGGGTAGGACATTTTCGTGACTTTAAATTATTAATTTGTATCCTTGCCACCACCACCAACCACGACTCAGCGTAAAAATGACAAAGATCATACAGGCACTAAATACCACGTCTTATAGCCTGTCCATTTATAGAGATCAGTGAATGGATTCAATAAAGTTGGATTACTTATTTAAAAATAAAATTTTCGTATTTCAAACTTTGTCGCTAACGCTTGGTGTGGTTAAAATTTTGAGATGGATTCATTTCCCCAGTTATTATTTTAACGTCTTGTATATCTTGAATTTGTATTGTATTTATAGACTGAAATGTAGACGATAATGTTCGGCTAAGGTTATGACAAAATATGAAATGTCAGTTGTCCAATGTTAGTTTACTGTGTGGTCACTTAGACTTTCTTATTCTTTCGTATTTTGTTGTTTTTTTAAAACCATTAATTTCTTAAACTTAAATGTGTCTTAACAGACTAAAAAAATAAGTCTTCATCTTCACAGACATTATTTTATTTAATATCCATTTAATTTGATTCAAAAGTTCCTAATTTTGTCGTAATTTTACATGACAATGTTTATTGTTATCATACATCGCTTCTGTAGAAGGAAAATGTGCTCGTTTGTGTTTGTCATATTTTCCCTTAAGTTCTTCCTTGTCCTCAACCGTATGTAGATTTGGATAGTATGAATTACAATCTGTGATTTGTTAATATAGAAAATAAAATAAGTTAAAACAATCTGTTCGTTTTATTTAAAATGCCTATCAGCTAAAAAGTAGTAGAAATACCAAGAAAATTATAGATCTACATAGATCAAGGCAGTGCTATATTTGGGAACTAATTATGTCATATATTGACCAATGAGGGAACGGCAACTGCTCGAGTGAATGTCGCCATTTTTTAATTTCCGAATTCCTAAAAAAATCACGTGTGCTGAAATTTCATGTAGTTTTAATCGCTTATACTGAGGCCATGAGCAAGATACTAACTTACGACTACTCGATATTGTCAATTATGAACAAAAAGTAGTCTACAATTTAGATTATGTTAATTTTAATTGTAAGCACTTACTACGGATACTCAACTCGGCTCAAATTATTTGCATTGTTTGGTTTTGTATTGAACCTGGGTAAATTTCTAAAGAAATTAAGAATTTTATGCGCACCGGTAACCCTAAATGCTCGTAGGCGCCCCCTTGTTAATGTTAACAAGATTTCGCAATTTTCGAATATTTAAAAAAAAACAACATTTTATGAATAATCATGTTTAATCTCGTACAAAAGTGCGTTTACATTACAATAAACAACGACGGGAATAATTTCTATTATTTAAAGTTAACATTAACGTAAGGAATTCTAAATTAATTGTAGATTGTAACAGATTATATAATTTTATAGAAAAAGTATTTTGGCGTTGTGCAGTCTACTTTGTTATTCTAAGTTTGCGTGAATTAAGTACAAAGTTACAAAAATTAAAGTAACAGGTATCTTATGTTTTTTTAAATAAATAAAATCCTTAGCATTAACATAATGATATTTTTTAGGAAACTTTGATAGAATGTTTCAACGATGCCAAAGATTGGTGTCATAAAACGCTACATTGTTACAATAGCTGAAAATTTATAAATTTATAATTCAATGCAAAAAATCAAGAAAAAAAGACATGGGACGTAAAAGCAGATTTTTAAAGATGCAATTTTTTTTCGTTCAAAAATCTAATTTTTACTTTGTTACCTATATAATTATTAAATTATCACTACTAATCATTTTTTAAAAATCGAACTTATATTTTAAACTACTTCACAATCGTATAACAAAAGTTTGCTAAACGAACAAACTCATTTCATAAACGGGGTATAAAAATGGGGCAAAGTTTTAAAGCTTTGGGATTAGTACTGTTTTTACACATTAACTTGGAAATATGATTGGTTATGAAGAAAGGTACATATCTCGATGCTCATTCTAACTTCGAGTTTCGTCTGCATTGACACATTTACTGCGTCAGAAGCTGCTATGAGGCGGCCATTTGAAGGTTATATGAAGAAATTGACTGAATACCAAGATTTTAAGGACCATTAAGCGTTAAATCCATTCGGAACGATTCTCTTCATTGTTTAAAAGTTATGTGTGTCAGTATTTGTAGGTGTGCACGTCAGAGAGCACGCTGGTGTGGGGGCGCGCGCGCTGGTCCGCGCACTGGTACGAGCCGCTCGTTGTTGACCGACGACTGCTATTAGAAGGACTGCAATGTACACACATTTAGTTACATTTTTTAATACAGAGACGAAATTCTTTATTATTACTAATCTTACTATCTATTCTAATCTAATCGCTAGGCAGTTGGATTAAGGGCCCGATTCAAAAGGCGGTTATTATAGAAACCGCACGACTAGTGAGGAGGTTCCTGTCTCTGCAGCCCTGACCACTGGCTGCTCGAGTTATCGGATTCCGCAGCCGGTGGTGCTCTATTTTTTATATAATGTATCTTATTTTATTTTTATATTCTTGTAAAATGTATTATATAGAGAATAAGAAATAAAGATATATGGAATGTTATAAATTCGAAAGTTTAGATGTATGGATGGATGTATTTTGGAGTTTGTAGTCTAAACTGCTGAATGGATCTCGATGAAATTTGGCATAGATGTTGAGGATAATCTGCAAGAGCACATAGTCGGCTTATTTTTTTTTTAAATATACGCGGCCGGAGTCGCGGGCGATAGCTAGCTATAGATATTAAATATTACCTGGGCAAGTTGTCCGGGTCGTCGCTACGCAGGGAGATCCACTGCGGCGCGATCTCCTCCCCCTTGACGCGCTCCAATGTTCCGTTGTGTACTAGCAGGTCGTCCATTAGGATCTGACCATAACCAGACTTTATTGTTAATCTGCCTACTCTATATATCATAGGACATATGAACTAAAAAACTATGACGTCACACATGTGAGTTATAAAAATATTGATCTCACAGCAAACTCCTTGACACCGCGCGCCGGAGTCTTGCCGTAGTTCCATATCTTCATTCCGTAAACTGTCACCGGCACGTCGAACACGAAGAATACCCTAAAATTTTAGATATTCAAGGAAATCATACGAAGAGTAATAGCAAAAATAGAGGCGAAAATATGGAGCTATAACTTTTACTGAATTCGATCAATACAAGCGATATTCAAAAAGTCGAAAACAAAGATATAAATGTCTAGGGCATTTTTGCCCCTTTTTTACGTAGTCTGCTTGCATTTGCAAGTTGAGTGCACAGGTGAGAATAAAAAATTCATCTGTCTCACCTTTTAGTCCCACTATCGCCAATAAGGTGACAGATGGAAGTGTTAAGAAATAAAATAAGTCAAACCGTCGACTCGTCGTAAAAGTGGGACGGATGAAACTTTTAATTCTCATCTGTCCCCACGTGGTGACGGTTGGGAATAATCAGTTTTATTGTATACCTGTTGAGCGTGTGCGGCAGCACGGGCGCGAGCCAGGCGTGGTGCGCGGCGGCGGCGCGCGCGTTGCAGCCGTCCACGAGGCGCGCGGGCGTGCGCACGTCGCCGCCCTGCTCGTACAGCACGTTCACACTCGACGGGTGCGCGCACACGTCTGACAGACATACTGCGTTGCTACAATCTTATATGAGAGTCCGCATTTTGACGCTAGGGGGCGGTGTTAGTTGTTGAGTTTCGTGGAGATCCCGGAACCCATTTTTATTGAACAGAGCACCGAGGGGGTTTTAGTGGGACAAATTTCATTTAAAACACTTCCCCCGGAAAACACAGTGTTATTTAAATATTTTCTCCCCGATACCAAAAAGGGGGCGGTGTTATCAAAAGATTAATGCGCGGTTCACACTTAGCCAGTACAGTTTTTAGCGTTCAATAACTGGACTGGCAATCGACCAGCACAGTGTAAACGATAACTGGCGTTAGTGAGTGTAACTGTACTGGCAAAGATGGCAAAAATATGAAACTAAAATAGCCACTGTTAAAAATCCCGATGTGGTTGGTCGTCTAGCTAATACCAGGGTACATACTGGACTCTGTGACCGGTATCTGGTTGCCGTCGGGATCGTATAGTTCGACGCCACTCAGACCCACGTAGTAAGGGTCTCCCCACGTGGAGAAGATGCTGATCTGCAGCACGAAGCCGCTGGGCGCAGCGGTGCCGCCGCCGGGGCCGTACACCGCGCACTCCATGCGGTAACTCTCCTCTGACGCTTCCTCAAATCTAAAATGACCACGTGCAAAAAAACACTCAAATACTTTGATGCTAGAATGAAGTTAAACAATCAAGAAAGAAGTTCACTTGATTATCGTTCTGTACCTGTAATGGTCAAATAATATTGTTAGATAGATTTTTTTATGAAGAGAAGAGGATTAGGTCGTCGACAAAAGCACTTCAAATTTAAACTCGATGTTATTTCCAAACCAAAACGATTTATGGTACTTCAAGAAGCGAGCCTACTATTTCCTCAAAGGCCGGCAACGCATGTGTAGTTCCGCTAGTATTGCGGATGTCCATGTCGTTGATCAGTGGTTCTTGCTGCCCGTTTGCCCCCTTTTCTTATTAAAAAACTAGGGACATTGTATGGGACACTTCGATATCTGCAAGTAAGACCTGTCGTCGATATCGGCGAGGTCGATGTGCTGCACGTAGTCGTAGGCGGTGTCGCCGGGCGCGCGGCGCAGCAGCAGCGGGCGGCAGTGCAGCGCGCCGCCGTCCACGTACACGCGCACGTGCTTCGCGCCGATGTACGACAGCTCCAGGCTGCCGTTGTAGTTCCACATCCTTATACCTAGCATACACCGTGTACAGCCCTTAATACGACGAATTTATGGCATCAATTTTTTTTTTGTTACATCATATTTAGATATGAAATGAACTGGTTTAGTAGATTTTTTAAAGTTGGCCGACACATTAAGAACAGGATTTTCTAGTTAAGGAACCAAAGCTATATTGATCCTGTAAACAACGAAACTTTATTCTTATATTATTATTATTATACAGGTCACTATCGAATTAAGGGTTACCGAACAACCATTGGTCTTTAGTATTTACATACTAAAGTCGGTCAAAAAAGACGACTCTATTTAACTTCAAAAAAAAATTCACACGCTACTTAAAAATCTTTTGTCATATTTTGACAACTAAGAACTGTACAGGGCACAAGAGAGTATACAACACACTAGTTATAAGAGTGGGTTCCTTCAACTCGACAACGATGTGACAGAACTTGGTGCCGGGCGCGAAGTTGGTGCACCACATGTCGTCGAAGTGCGTGGTGATGTTGGTGCCGTTGAAGAGGCAGCGGCAGTCGGCGACGCTGTCGCACTCGTCCATGCGCTCGTCGCTGATGTACGCCGAGTACGCGTACGAGCGCCGCACGCCCACCGGCTTGTTGTAGCGCAGGACCTCGATACCTACCAACTGTCGACTAAAGATACTCTGTTCGAAAAAATAGTTACATCTATATGTATAAGATCTTTGTATCTCATTTGAGATCTCTTAAACGCAAGTAACTTTTTTTGTCGGATACGTAAAGGTGTTTTCTAAATTGTGATAAGGGAACTTATACAAAATTATGATATTGTGGTAATGAACTGAAAATCTTACTCTAAAAAATAATTTGATTTAAATCACATATTTCATAATATGTTGCTCGAAACATCGTCCGCGTGGAATTAAAAAAAAGAAGTGTTCTTCAGGACTATCCAACTATATCTACATCTGTGCCAAATCTTATCGAGATCTGTTCAGCAGTTAATTTTAGCAAACATTTATCCATTTATCTAAACTTTCTCATTTATAATATTAGTATGTTACTCAGTGATAACGTACGTTTTGTAATGGTGCAGGAATTTTTGAAATCAGTCCAGTAGTTTTGGAGTTATTATGGTTATTGCAGTTTAGTTAGTATAGAGACAGATGATAAAATTCAATAAAAAGGATATTTAAATGAGACTTACCCGTCAGTCCAATGATATGTTTCTGTCCCCAGTTGGACATGAGCACAATTTTGACGACGTTGGCGACGTAGTTGTCGGCGGCGCTGCGGCGGCGCGGGCTGCGGCGCGCGGCGGGGCTCGGCGCGCGCTCGCTCGCGGTCGGCGGCCGCTTCTCCACGATGCCGTAGTCCGCGCCGTTGTCGCTCTCCTTCAGTACTTCTTGGAAATTCTTGTCGTTTACCAATATTCGCTCTAATATTGTCGAGTCTTTTGTGAATAAAATCGTCTGAAAATTTGTTATAAAACCTTCAACGTTGGGCGTACCAAATATTTGAAAAGACTTACAATTGATGGAGCCGTAACTTTTTTTTCTTGATTGACTTAGTGTAGCACTAAATCTAAAATTCAAGTTATACTTACATCACCAAAAGATTGTAAATGTCCTTTCAGCGCCCCGCTGGACCGCGCGATCTCGCCTTGGAATATAACTTGGTCGTCCAGTTTGATTTGCACGAGACGAACGCCGCGCGTCGAATATATACGAGACTTGTTGTAGTTCTATACATTATTATTTTAAAAACAAAATTTAAGTAGTATAAAAGGTACCTATAAATTTAGAGTATAAATATAAATTAATCTATAACATACATTAGAGTAGTGAAAAAAGTAAACACGAGGAATAGTTTTTCCTAATTTAGTTAAATTGAAGATTATTACGTCCATAACTTCGATCACCTATAACACCCAATAATTCCTTGAAGCTCCATAATACTACCCTATAATTACCCAAATCTAGCTATGTTATCAGTTATACTTGTATTTCCAATTCCCGTAACAATAACGAAGCAATATCCCGAGCCAAGGTTCCTAAGCAAGCCCTCGACCTTTGTTACTTAAAGGTCGAGGGCCTTCCACCTAAGCTCGATGAAGCTATAAATGCATATCAAGGGAAACAATGAAAACTTTGTCAAACAAAAAATATCGCACTTACCCAGAGTCTAAGCAGTGCGAGTGTGGTGCACTTGGCCAGCAGCACGCTGAGGGCGATGGGGGCTGCGGGGGCGGCGGAGGGCGCGGGCGCACTCCAGATGTGAAGGTCGTCAGTAGTCCGTACCACACCGTCGATGATGCTCTCCGTGCGCCCGTATCGCGTGCAGTCACCACTCTCCGAATCAGACCATATCTATACCATATACCACGATATTAACGTCCTGCTTTCCTTGCAGTATTCAAACTTGATGTTCGTGCATACCTTTTCAATATTAACAACTTCACCGTTTATATCAAATATTTCTAATCCATTCAAACCGACTAGAAATTTATCACCCCAGTTGGAGAATATTTTTATCTCCAACAATCTTCCTTGAGGTAGTTCGGGTATAACGAAATCATTCATCGCTTTTTCAATATCTCTGGGGGTCATTTTAGATGTGGCTTTTGAAATGTTTTTAGCGCCAGATTTCTTTGGTCTATTTGTGTGATTTGCAACACTTTTGTACTCTTCGGGAACTGTTTTATTTGGTTTAAATGTGTCATGCCCTGAAATAAAAATTCTTTTATGTCTATAGGATATATTTAGAGCGTATTGAAATTAGCTATTATACTTACTGCGTCCAATAATAACATCGGTAAAATCATTATCGTTGTGCGGCCTGTGTCGCGGAGTGACGTAGTGCGGGAGGAGGTCGGAGAGAAAATCATTGGTGACGTCATGCCGGCCCATAGAATCCCCCCAATCTAACTTTTTTGGCCTCGCATTTGGCTTCTTATTCATCTCATGATCTTAGAGTAAAAAAATAATAATTTATCTACATTAAAAATTAATAGCGTAATTATGTTCAATTGAAACTTACTTTTCCTTATCAAAGTTAGTAAATTTGTTATACCAAAAAATTTTGTAACAATTTTAAAAATAGTACCATGGTTGTTACGAAGTGTGCCAGCGGAATGTGCAAAAGGATGTTTTTTCTGTTTCTTTTGAATGTCGATAGTAGCGTCTAACGATGTCCTCCGCATTGATCTATTTAAAATTATAGATAGAGTTTAGAAAACACATGAAGTCCCAAAACGCATTGGACCAGTTTTAACTATGTCCTAGTCGACCCTAACATAGCGTAGGCTACAAGCCACTAGGGTGGGGACGTTTATTTAATATAAATACCTGCATTCCAATCTAGAGTTTGTTTTTTCATAAATCGGTGATGATATACGACTGCCATTTTTTATATGAGTTTCTTTCAGTTTCCTGAAAAAGACTTAAACATAAGAACATTGTAGATAGGTGCGAAATTCATTGTAAACTGTAGGTACTTTTTCTTCCAATGATTTTCTGGCCAATCAACAATGTGGGAATTGACCGTATGTTTGCCAATTCATTATGAATAGGTAAGTATTGTTTTAAACCAGTTTTCATCTAAGTATAATTTTATAAAACTTACTTGTTTATCCCTTCCAGCCAAAGAGGATTTTCGCTGTCGGTCGTGTAATTAAATCCATTCGATAGTGCCATTCTTACGTTAACTTTTACATATTTAAAACTAAATATTTGTTTCAGTAATGGTTCAAACAAATCAGTTATTCTATGTAAAGAAAGTTCTGAAAATACAGCTGGTATTACAAAGGAACATTTAATTATTTTGATTTCTGGTGGTAATCGTTAAACGTAAATGTAATATCTAAATTCCTACCTGTTATTAATTGAGCCTTATTTGACTTACTTTTTTTTAACCATGTTGAAGCAGTGAGTTTGACCTTGGTTGCTATAGCAACGAGTGCGAATATTGGTCGGTCCTAAAATAATTACTTGAAAAATTAATACATAAGAACCAATAAATATATGTTTGCTGTCGTTATTTTCTGGTACCTAGGCAAGATATTTGCTTTTTTGGGTGCTCTACAAATTAATTACTGATTTTTTTATACATTTATTGTAGATTTATTCTGAACTCACACACCCGTTCCATTTTACAAGAACCAAGATGTTGCCATAAAATAGAAGATCTGCCAATGTCAAATTGTCAATGTGTTATAAATGTCAGACTTCTTCAAAATAACCTTTACGTATACGGTCTCTCAATGTATTTACTTTATAAACTAAAGGAATAAATGCATATTGTTGTTGTCACGTGAGTCTGATTTTTTAATTACATCAACTAATTTATTTTACAACGAAACTAAAATGTCGGAATTCGACGAGAAATCTCTGCTAGAGAGAACTAGTAAAGCTGAATTAGAAGCGAAGTCTATCGAGGCGGAACTTGACAAACTCACAAATGGGGATTTAAGTTCGGCAGTAGACTCTCGCTTAGACCAGTTATTAGTAGAAAATGAGAAACTCAAACATCGCCTTGCTATAATCGAAAGTGCCATCAAAGCAGAGTCTAACCTAACACCTAAATCGGAAAACCGTAAAAGACCTAAGTTAATAACAGATATTAGTTCTGTAGAAGGCAACATATGTTTATTAGATGAACTTAAAAACATATTCGAATTAGCAATTACATCTGCATATCCTAATTTGGTGGATCCGCCGATAGTTTTAACTCTTTCAGGCAACAACCCTAAATTCGGCGACTATCAGTGTAACTCTGCTATGCCTATCTCTCATTTACTAAAATCAATGAAAGTGTCAACAAACCCGAGGGAAGTTGCCAACAACATTCTTAACAAAACACCCACATCTCCACTTATAGAGAGAATTGAAGTAGCTGGAGCAGGTTTCCTGAATATATATTTAAATAAAAAATTTGCTGAACATGTATTGAACTGTATCCTCCAATATGGTGTTTCACCACCACCAGTTAAAAAGGAAAAAGTAATAGTTGATTTTTCATCACCAAATATTGCTAAGGAAATGCATGTCGGTCACCTAAGGTCAACCATCATAGGTGATAGCATTTGTCGAATTCTAGAGTTTTTAAACCATGATGTTTTGCGATTGAATCATTTAGGTGACTGGGGAACACAATTTGGAATGTTAATTGCTCATCTACAAGAACAATTCCCTGATTATAAGATTTCTTCACCGCCAATATCTGATTTACAAGCTTTTTACAAGGAATCAAAGAAAAGATTTGATGAAGATGAGGTATTTAAGAAAAAAGCATATTCATGTGTTGTACAGTTACAGTCTGGCCAACCTGATTACATTGCAGCATGGAAACTTATATGTGAAGTGTCTAGGAGGGAATTTCAGAAGATCTATGATCGGTTGGATATTCGTATCATAGATAGAGGGGAGTCTTTCTATCAAAGTCGGATGGATGCTGTAGTGAAAGAACTCAAAGACAATGGTTTTCTTGAAGAAGATGAAGGGAGATTGATAATGTGGGGCAACCCTGATACACACGAAGGTATACCTTTGACAGTTGTGAAGTCAGATGGTGGCTACACATATGATACTTCAGATATAACAGCAATAAAACAGAGAGTGAATGAAGAAAAGGGAGATAGGTTTATTTATGTAACTGATGTTGGTCAGTACACACATTTTGTGACTATTGATGCATGCGCAAGACGCGCGGGTATTCTTAAAAACTCGCAAAAGTTGGAGCATGTTGGATTTGGTGTAGTACTTGGTGAAGACAAGAAAAAGTTCAAGACAAGGTCTGGTGACACCGTGAAACTGATTGAATTACTTGATGAAGGTTTAAAGAGATCTCTTGATAAATTGGTAGAGAAGGGCAGAGACAAAGTACTGACTCCTGAAGAGTTGAAGAAAGCTCAAGAAGCAGTTGCTTATGGTTGTATTAAATATGCTGATCTCTCACATAACAGAGTCAATGATTACATCTTCTCTTTTGACAAAATGTTGGATGATAAAGGCAATACAGCTGTTTATTTATTATATGCAGTTACAAGAATCAGATCTATTGCCAGGAATGCCCAGGTTTCTGAAACTAAATTATTAGAGGAGGTGGCAAAATCTGGTTTCAAGCTAGAACATGTAACAGAGTGGAAACTAGGCAAGGTACTTTTGAGGTTCCCTGAGGTGATTCTCAAAGTTGCAAATGATCTATACTTGCATAGTCTGTGTGAATACTTGTATGAGATTTCATGTACATTTACTGAATTTTATGACAAGTGTTATTGCATTCAAAAAGATAAAACTGGAAATATTGTTAATATTTCATACGAAAGGCTGATGCTTTGTGAAGTAACAGCTAAAGTCATGGAAAAATGTCTTGAAATTTTAGGCATCAAGACAGTTTCAAAGATGTAATTTATACTTTTACCGTTTTCTACAGTGTATAACACTAGGTGTGAACTTTTTAATTATTAAAATGAAAACAAATAAAGGATTGTAAATTTTTATTTAGTTCCCAAAAACCTCTACAAAACTATACCTGAATCCGATATCAAAGATAACATTTACGAAAAAACTATTTTGGTATCTGTTAGAAAATTATACAGTTTATACACAGGGCATAGAAACATTTACATATAACATACCTTACTGCCTATATCAATACAACACTGATAATGTTAAAAGTACAGACAAGATTTATAACATTTATTACAGCAACTTTGCTTGTAATTTACAAACTTGACATCTATTAAGCTAAAAAAATATATACAGTCTAAACCGGATATAATTTTTTTTTTGTTTCCCTTAGAGCAGTATGTTAACAGCAGTTTTAACTCTACTTGGTGTTATGTAAGAGTAATTTGCAGAGCTGCGGCGTCCTAACAGCATATCAGATATGTCTTTTTCTGCGTAGTTACAACCGATTTTGACTGTAATATTTACTATTAAAATAAGGCTGAAAATTTATAAGAGATATAATTCACAATCACAAATCTATATTCCCTGGAAACATGAGATAGAAAACCTCACAAATATACTTGGCTACTACTAATTTTCTTTACACAGAGACATGCTTAAACGATCCTAAAATCCCAATTTCTGTACTAAGGATTTTTATATCTTTGAAATTGTCTATGGCAAGATATACCAATACTTTTTACTGCTATTTATAGAGAGCTAAATAATTCAAATATACAAGGAACACATGAACTACATGAGACATCCTTTATTTAGTGTAAATATAAATTTAATATGGAAATAATTAAAGATTTTCTAATTGATTTAAATAAAACTTTTGCTTAAAGTTTATTTACTTGACACAGTTTGTATTACGAGAATGTTAAAAAAAAAATACAGAGACGAGCGTATAACAGACTGAAAAAGATTTTTTTTTCACATCATTACATGGAAAAGAAATTTCCATCTTGCAATTTTTAAACGTAGTTTTTTTTGTATAAAATAAAACATTGTTTTGAAAAAACTTGAATTTGTCTTCATATTGGTTACCCTGTGATATCCTTGACTAACCGGATTTGTTTTATTATTGTAAAAAAACAAAATAAAAACTAAACTACAGGAAATTTTGAGATTCATTGATATGTAATAATTTACATAAACACTTATGTAAATTGCACACGGACTACATAAACGTAATTCATAAAACATAAGCTTCACAAGACAAATGTTCTGCCAATGCAAAATCCATAACCGTGAGTTTTCACTTCGGAAATAGTTTTAAAATTACTTTCTCTAATTGAAGAACAGAAATATTTTTCTCCGGTATTTCAATGAAAACCCACGATTTTTTGTCTTTGTCTATTGTTATGTTTTTTCTACACAATGTTAGAAACTAGGAACATTATAATTGGTAAAAACGCTGTTTATTTTCAATGTAAAAATAATTCATTCATTCAATCACTAATTTGCATAGAACTGTAGCAAATTTATGACTAGATTTGTTAACACTATCTTATTTTGTTTTCGAAAGAATACAATCGCAATTACAATTTTAATGGGTTCATAAATATAAAAAGATATTTAATTAAAATATACGTCAATGTTTTCTAATATAAAATGAGTATTTGGTTTATATAGCAAATAGCATCAAACCTTAATAAATTGAGTAAAACATAAGTAATTAAAATCAAAATTGTATCAATGTCAAATTTACATTATTTAAAAAATCGATTTACATTGGCAACATTGGCATTCTTTAAAAACACATTACGGCATTTATTTAATTTAGTTTCAAATATCGAGAAAACAACAAAATAATACTTTCTTTATGAATGTTCTTGCAGTGTGGTCTCTTTGAAGACAATATAGAACAGCAACCATATTGAAAATAGACATTTCGCGCCAATAGTTTGCCCCCGTTCCGACCACAGGCAAACTATTGTTCTCAGATTGCGTTATTCAACTAACAATGCTTTGTGGTGCAACTTTGAAGATGACACGTTATTTTGAAATGCGTATAAACTAAATTGAATTGAAATAGTTTAAAATTATCCTGATTTTGCATCGAAATAATGATTTTAAAACGTCTTGTCGTATCGGAAAGTGAGAGATAAGAACACATCGCAATAAATCTTGAAGCAGTAATCTGTAAAATGTTAAAAATATTTACTATAATTATAAATCGATTTGAAATTATAAAGTATACACCAAAATTAAATATTATTGATATGAAGGAGGTATTTGGTACATTACTATAACATTCAAGACGAAGAATTTCCGTATTGAGCAATAACATATATGGAATATATGGAGACAAATTATACTAAGAGTACGACAATTGGGAGTATTAGTACGACAATTAACAATAAAATTTTCACATCACCACACGACTACTCTACATTGTAGTATAACTAATCTAAGGAGAACTTACACTGAGATGTATAAAAATATCTCACTGGAAAACGGGACTCATATAAGTATAGATATATAAACGTTTCTAAAAAACTCCAATACATTTTAAACAATCTAAAAAGGATTGGATTGGTCTCGAGATTTTGAGATACTAAGAACACTACAACAATAGTAGAATAAGATTCAACAATTTCTTTTTACAAAATATACATACATTTTTAATATTTCATTTAGACTATTTGGCCGAAGACGGTCCACGCCGTGTTGTTAAAATAAGACTTTGAAATAAACCTAATTTCCCAAACATCGTTTAAATAAAAATTAAAACCAAAATCATCGAAGCTCCTTTAAACTCGTTTAAAAAAAATCATAAATACAATAAAACATAATCACAGGTTAAAAAAAAAAAAAAAGTTGGACTGGGCAATCTTGATAAAGACTGAAGTCGAGGCAAAAAGGTCGAGGTCCAAAGGAAGTCAGGCCAATTACACATGAGTCATGGAAACAACGCAATGCGTGCGAACATATTGTCATTAGCACTGAAAGTTTTTTTTTTATATACGTATATATGGCCAGTCAAAAACCTAATAGATTCCACCAAATTATAATACAATTTACACAAGATCCTAAAACTGTTTAGAAGTCACATAAAAAATGGGAATGTCAAACATAATTCAATCAAGTACAACTTTTAACAACGTCGTGTGGACGAAAAAGGTGCGTCTAAGATTCCTACGAGTTCAAAAGTCTACAAACCCTGCGGTCCTGACAACCTAAATTAAAAACTACTGAAACAGACATCAATACAGATCATATAATTACTACAAAATACTTAGCGAGATAATGGAATTGGGTACTATAATACAACTTTCGTCGAGAAGCTTTTCTGTCAAGCCCTAGCGGCGGAAGTGCGCCATTTTCTACAAAATCCAATTGACGTCTGACATTTCGCAGCTGTCAAATATGTTAAACGCGGCCTCGCTGTCGACTCGCGATACGAAAATAGCTTGAGTACGCTCTGTTAATCGAGTTTGAATAGGTTAATGGGGCAGTCTTTATTGAGATTTTAGTTCGGGGAAGAGATGTCGGAGTATGGCCAGGTAGTGCACGGTGGCGGCGAGGGCCACGAATATGTGCCATATGGCGTGAGCGAAGGGGATGCGACCATCAGACTTGAAGAAGAACACGCCGGCCAGGTACAGCATCCCGCCCACCTTGAGATCGTGCATCGCCGGGAAGTGGTGCTGGAAGATAAAACATTACATTACATACCAAATAATTAAAATCATCAAGTCGTTAGAGGCGGATTAACACGTTGAATGCCAATGTGATGTCCATGAACAATGAATAGCGCGAATTCGTATTAAAATGTTGTATCAGGGTAATTAACTATCTTACTAATCTTACTCTTACTAATATTATAAATGCGAAAGTTTAGATGGATGGATGGATGTTTGTTAGAGTTTGTAGCCTAAACGGCTGACCGGATTTCGATGAAATTTGGTATAGATGTGGAGGAAAGTCTGGAAGAACACATAGGCTTTTGTTTTTTTTTTAAATTCCACGCGGACGAAAGCTTGTAGCTAATATAAGAAATAATAATAGACAGAGTTTTATATGTAACTAGATCTAGTTTCATGCACCCCGCATATAATAAAGGAAATAATTTTATGCAAGAATTGTAACACTTCAACTGCTTATTTAAATACGATATCCGAGTATTACATAAAAGGTATGGTGTAATGTAAACTAAGCTTGTTTCGTATAAAAATAGTATCTATAAGAAATAAGTCGCATGCACAAGGTCAAATGACGCACGATACATAGTAAACCGGTTTAAGTTTAGTCAGGTAAATAAAAATGTTGAAAACATAAAATTTTCATTCTACCCTCTGACACTATCAGCCAGAATTTATTATGACAAATTTCTAGTTCCCAAAACAAACAGAATTCAAACAAGAAACTCTGAAAGTATTGTTTTTAATTCATTTATCACTTATCTTTAGTGTTATTTAGAATATTGTTCGATTAAAGTACATTTAACTAAGTTGAATGGGGACGAGGACGAGCGGCCGAGGACGGATACCTGTTCCGAAACTTAATGTTGCAAGTTAAGTGCCACAGACAAGTTGTTTCCTTTCAAACTTAAAACAAAACAATGCATTAATTTTTATAACATTACTAATAAATCTGGACTACGGAAAAGAGTACAAGTATTAATAAAAATTAATTTGTATTTTGCAAATGTTTCTAACATAAAAGCGTAAGTTTAGATGCATGGATGGATGTTTGTTAGAGTTTGTAGCTTATACTGCTGAACGGATATCAATATAATTTGGCATATATATAGACGATAGTCTGAGGAACATATAGGCTAGTTACTTTTTTATTTTCATATGGGCGATAGCGTTATTTATAAGTATACGGATACTCGGTACTCGGATCGGTTACGGAACCGATGGGTATAAATATGAATGTCAGTGTCGCAAGTTATGTTTATCTCACGTATGGTTACACTGCAGAAGTTATGCGACACGACCAGAATAGATAGTAACTTTGACCTTTCACTTTACAAGATTATGTCCGCTTATACAAATTGTAAATTATTTAACTGAATATCAAAGTTTTTAATATTACAAATGCGAAAATTTGAATGGATGGATGTTTGTTACTATATCTCCAGAACGGCTTAACGGCTCGATAAGATTGGGCTTAAATGTAGAGTATAATCTAGAAAACACATTGTCTAATAATTTTTTTTTAATTCCGCGCGGACGGTGTGGCGGGCGAATGCTAGTATTTACATAAAAGTATATTTATTCTGTTAGTGACTTCGAGTACTGAATCTGCGATAAATGGATTGAATTTTATATATATGTGTACTTTATAGGTACTATCTTACTGTTCATATAATATTAGGTCACCTTTACATGCGATTGTGCGGAAAGGTCGAGAGTTCAAATTCCATTCGACTCAAATGGGCTTACATTTCAGATGCGACTTTGTAAGAGTAAACTCGTGGAATAATTATAGAGCTATAAATTACAAGGCATTGAATAAAGTTGAAATTCTAAATCAATGAAAAATACTTTAAATTACTGTTAAGTTTCACTTCATGGACAAAAAGCTAAATACAAGTAAATTGCCACAAACAGGAAATCATTAACATTATCAAATAGTAAATCTATCACAATATTTTTTACTAGATTTTGCGTTTGATAATTTTAACGGCATAGTAATACACGTCATAGTGTATTACTATGCCGTGCTATTATCTAAGTTATGTTATTACTATTATAAAGACATTAAATTTTTCCGACAATATATATCTAAAAGAACATTGTCCAAATTGGCTTCTTTTAATCGCATACTAACTCCTACATCTATGCCAAAATATCATTAAGATCCGTTCTGATATGGAGTAACAAAAACCTGTCCATCCATCCAAAATTTTGCATTTGATTGACATGAAGTAAAATAAATTAACATTTAATTGTTCCAAGGTCAGTATAATTTAACATGATTGCATTTAGAATGGATAAGCAACGTGGAATATATTAAAGAGGTCAGGTTTAGGTCACTGTATCATAGATTTTGTAAATATACAAATTGTTAATCTCATTGTTTAGGGACTCATTAATTAATTCGTGTAAAATGTACAGTGAACGGTTTAAGTGTAAACAACGCAATAAATATATTTAGTTGCCGTGCTGTCGTTTTAAAATTCATCAATGGTCCTTCGAGCCGGACTACAAGAATTCTATTTAAGCGATATTATATAAAAATAGATAAACACAAATCAATCCCTAAATTTGTCAATTGCACGAAAAAAACAAGTTTAAGTTAATCGAGAATCAACAATTTTTTGCCTTAAAAAATAAAGATCATTTTTAATTCACTTTCCGTGTTCATTACTTGACATATTCAAATGTAATGTTAAAATCTTCACAAAGTGCGAATTTTAATATTTCACAAAGTAAACTCAACGAGCAGTATTGAAAGGTCCTGTGGCCTATAACGATTCAACCACAACACGATTTCCTTTGCACCAACCAATTTGCCAATTGAAATCGCAAATAGACGTACAATGGCGAATTTGAAATGGTATTGTTGAGTGTGATATTAAGCCATACATAAAGTACATGTTGAAATAATTTTATTAGATTGAACGAATACAATAATTCAATAAGAAATTTGATTTAAGTACAACAAAGTTTTTTTTTTACCTTTAGAACACCACCACCAATAATACCAATGATTTTGCCTTGATATTAAGTTTTTTTTTAAATGTTATTTCCCTATACCATACCCCTTTTATGCCATGTTATGTTTAATATTCTTCGAGCAATTTTATTTACGCAACATAAATCTATAAAAACATCTATTCAGAACCCCGTAAATTTATCAACACATAATAATGTTATAAAATAGATAAAATTATCACGACATCGCGTAAAGAAGTTTTTAAATTTCTTTAACATATAGATAAATACGTATATTTATAAACGTGATTATTATTGTTAAATTAAAGTTAAAGAGGACAATCTGTTAGTTAATAGAGAAAGCTGAAACATTACTGAAACTTCGAGAACAAAGTGTACTCTTCCTTAAAAGGTCAGAACTTTGCTGTTCCTCTGTGTTGAAGATGTCCCTAGGCAATCAACGTTAGTTAGATACTTCTCGTGAAGAAAAAGTCAATTCTTACTTTGTTTTGTGTATGTCAAATATAGTTTCAATTTACCTTTTTACATCAACGCTTTAAAAAATACAATGTTATTTCCACGGCTTGGGGGTAATCTCAGGGGTAGCGAGTGGTGCTCACTTGTTTATTTATGAATTCCGGAGCCAAGTTTACATTTCATTATTCATTGTGCATTGAAATAAATGAAAGCTGTGTTTTTAATATAACCGTGACACTAATACGTGACGTAGACAAACATAAGGAAAATTTGCTTGAAAAAGAAAAAAGATTTGAAAGATGAATTATATTTAGAATTGGGATACTTAGAGAGCAAGTTCAAGAATAATTCACACTAACTAATGAATGGTCCCTTAACAATGATGTCCAAGATAACATTAAAATACTCGGAAACACAACACAACACACAAGCATTGCATTACAGCGTATTATGCGAAATATAACTCCAGTTGGATACAATTGCTTAGAAGCAGATTGCATGCCGCATTCCTTGCGCTATATCTATTTGCTGAATTACTGTGGGAAGATGTTTTATAGAATTACTAGATGTTATCATTCTTCTACAACAAATACCACATCTCGTTTTAACTGATTTTTTAAAGTAACAATAATAAATACCAGATAACATATAAACATAGTCCAAAATCGAATAATTTGATTCGACGTCGGCACTAAAGGTGTTAAAACATACATTAAAAAAGCAAGCGTGCAACAAACAATGGACATACATTTGACGTGACAATGATGGCCGCCGGGCCCAAGCCCATAACCAAGTAGAGCAGGAGCTCGAGCATCTTGTACCGCTCGTGGAAGATCTGCTGGTAGGTGATGCCGAGGACCGCCAGCAGCCAGATAGCCCAGCGCAACTCGCGTAGCATCCAGCAGGAGAGCGTGCCCACCGTCAGCCAGGGGAAGTACGAGCTCGCGATAAAGATGTATATCATGGCACGGTCGCAACGGTGTAGGAAGTGCTTCATTTTGCTGAAAACATTATGTAAGCTTAAGGCGATGTCGGTGTATTATGATGTGTTTGATTTTGCTAGTGTTACGGCCAAATACTGAAACACCAGTAACCCTTCAAAGTCTAATTTTAATCAAATTACAAATCGTACAAGTGTACCCTTTTCTGTGTCTTTTACTAATCGGGATAAGTAGTAAAATAATAAAAACCATGTTATATATTTTCGTGATATGCTTTTTGTTTTCTAACTTGAAGATTATCAGTCAATAGTAACACGTAAATAGCCTAGTATTAAAAAAAATCGACTCTAGGTGCCCAATGCGATTTATAACCCCGGTATCAAATGAAAACTTCAGGTATTTAATAGTTAAATATGTATAAGCATCTTAAATGATAAGTTTAAAAACGGCGGTTACGAAGCTAAGTGTTTAAGGTTCGTTACAGTATTTGGCTGTTTTTCTTATAGCAAATAACACGCGCATCACTGCGCTTGCGCCGGTCACCTTGAGGCTTGAAATGTTGCGGTGTTGATATAATTACATCTGCATTACTGCACGAACATTAAGTTAATAGAAACGTATCTGATATATTTAAGAAGCGACAATATTATGCTAGAAATAACAAATAAAATCATGTCTCTAACATCATTCTATACTATTAAAAATTATCGTAACTTTTACACTTTTATACTGCTAATAGATTTTTTAAGAAAGAAGTATTTTCGTTGCTTATACCATCCGTAATTCCATTCTCTGAATACTCATATTTCGATGAATTGAACAAACATGAAACAGAAATAATAGAACTGTAGTGTCTGAAAGTTTACAATAGCTGTTGAGTTCCCTCTGTCGTTAACTAGGCCAAGACTCTTTTAAAACCAACGCTTTGACATGTTAAATACTGACTTGCATATGCTTGGAAAACTTGAAAAATGTCAAAGTTATGTTTATTTATGGTATCATTTTGTGTTTGTTAAAAAGAAAGCAAAGAGGAATTCAGATTTTTTGTTATTACGATAAGTGAAGAAAGCAAAAAAGACCCCAAATTTCACCGCGATTTTGAGCTAAACTATTTAACTACGTCGTAGTCTTTGACTCCAATAATCAAACAAAAAAATGGGATCCACCTGCAAGCACTACCTTTCGGATAAAAAAAGAGTTATCAAAATCGGTCCACTAGCAGCGGAATTATGCCGTAATACGAAAAAAAAATACATACGAATTGAGTACCTCCTTCTTTTGGGAAGTTGGTCAAAAAATATAAGTGCATGACAAGGTTGCCACCGTCATGTCACTTGGATTTAAACATATTTATATCTCTCTCATTCTCTTGTAAATACAGAGGTAACGAGTGTTTCGGTAGATGAATTACTACATTTCTAAACACATTGTCTTACATGGACAAAAAATTACATTGTTAAATTGAAGGAATTGCGAAAAACAAATTGAATTATCATAAATTAAATAAACAATAGTTATATTACAACATTGTATATTGTATTCAATACATAGAATAAAGAACGATAAATTACTGACGACGGTACATATTATCTAAGCACATTCTAGAAACATAAATTAAAACCTTTCTGAGCTGATTTAAAGTATCATCCTCCTTAATAAACCAATCAATATAAACTAAGGGAGCACAGAAAAGGTTTCTTTTAGGATTTCCTAAGGTTTCAATTTTTAATTAAAGCGATACAGGTGTCCGGTTTTTAAGTTCCAGTTACTCTAAGCTTCTGATAAATGTACAGTAAACTAAGTTTAGGATAGCTCGCAATTGGGTCAAGACGCTGTTTCAGAGCTGTTATTTAATGGTTTATTGTAATACTAACTGTCGCCCGCGAACCCGTCCACGTGGAGTTAAAAAAAAACAAAAGTAGCTTATGTATTCTTCCAGACTATCCTCTACATCTATGCCAAATTTCATTGTAATCAGTTCAGTAGTAGAGGCTACAAACTCTAACAAAAACCATCCATCCATCTATACATTCACATTTATAAAATTGGTAAGATTTTACGACAAGATATCCGAAGGCTTATTTTATGCGAACACCCTGTATATTTTACAGTATTGTGTGTTATTGAAGGCTATTTTTAAGTTATTTTCTTTCATATTACGCAATAAACCGCACATAACCTTGTTCAGCTTAGCGATAATGCTGCCGTGAAACCTAAGGCTTCCAATTATGTTTATTTCTATTTCGTAACAATTTTATTTTTAGTACACACCGCATAAAATAATAAAACAAGCTTTTGCCCGCGACTCTATCTAAAAAAACACAAAGGTAAGTCTATGTCTTCTTAAGACTATGTTCTACATCTGTGCCAAATTTCATTGAGATCCGTTCAGCTGTTTAGGAGATACTTTTAAACAAACATCCATCTAAACATATAAATTTTCGCATTTATAATATTAAGAAGTAAGATTTTACGCATAACAATTTAGAAATGTTTTTATCGTCCCAAAGATTCATCGTTATGGCGATGTTTCTCATTTGTCTTGTTTTTTTACAAACTCGTACGATGTATGCAAAAAATACTAAGTAAAGTCTATACTAATGGTTCTCCGCTAATGTAATCACAATAATTTTCAACCTGTCAGTCAGAGATTTAAATTCACTTCCCACTAAATTGAGCATCATACAGTAAACTGTTACTCATGAGAGCTATGATATGAAATTACGCCGAAGCGGGTAGGAAATTAAGGTCTTTGACTGTGAATCCCGAAAAGTAGTAGTTAGTATTTACTGGAATACATTTTTAGCGACCTTAACTTGACCTTAATTAGGTGAGCGTATAATCAAATACTGATACATACCGCACCCGCGGACAAACCAATTATATGATTTTTGCGGGGCCATATTTGTGCATATGTTTAATTTGGTTTTTTTTTTATAAATAAGCTATCAGGGTAATAGACTCGCGAGTCTTACATCACTTAAAAATAGTAAGTTGATTTTAATTGATTACAAGCCAATTACTTGGAGCGGCACTTAACAAATTAAAGCTGCATAACTCTCCAGAGACGGAGCACTGAATAAGGAATTACAACAAGTGCTCTAATAGTTGGAATTTTTATCTTAATTACTACCACATAAATCAGAAACTTTAAGTGAATTATATTTATTTTACGTTAATGCACTTGTTACTTATAATAATATGTATTGTTATAATTTTTACCTTTAATTAACCATCGATATAATATTGGCCGCTAATTTATAGTGAATATTTAAAATAATAGGACAATTGGAAACATTGTGCTATACCTATATGTCCCTTAATTAATCTTAAATTTTTAATTACTTAAATTATTGTTTATTTCTTGTTAAGTTACTCGATGAAAATGACTTATTGTCCCGACGGGCCGATATTACCAACCGAGCTGATCATTCCCATTGAGTCCATCGGTTGTGTGGATTTGATCGGCACATCGGGAAACATCCGCCTATTGCGGTACAGATCAAAAGCCGATATACTAGTTACATACGATCTTCTCAATGGCTCACGTGAGTCGCAAATAACGGCTATTATTCTATTAGTGGGGACCAAGAGGTTCACTGAACATCTATCACATCATTGTAGATTTAAGATCGTATATCAACGCCGGCAAAATTCAAACCATTTTTAGTCTTTATGGTCAAAACATAAAAAGTATCTTTTCTACTACCATAGGCGTCGCCAGGAGTCAGTATTAGGCAGGCACTTTTTTTTGGAATAAGATACGGCAATATGTTTTATATGCGTTTCGCCAGTGGAAACTCATATACGTGTTTAGGTTACAAATAACTTACGTATCAGATCGGCAGCAGCATACGGAATGGAATGTAGTGGAGACAGCGAACAACAGGCATAGTGCCAACCCATACACCACAGCTGCGATCGCTTGCGGCGCGTTTATGGACCGCGTGAGGAGCTCGCGCGCGCCCAGCGACGCGGGCGCCACGCATAGTGCGTGCGTGCATACGTTGGCTACATTCTCCACCTACGAAAATATCACAAATATCACATCGTTTATCAACAAAATCACGCAAAATTCACACCAGTCTCAATTAAAACATATAGTCTGTTAAAGCATGCCCTTTTTGTTGCGTACAAAATTTATCAATAGGGCCTATAAGAAAAAAAATAAAAACATTTGACAATATCTATTTTCACTGAACTACATGAAATTGATAGTTTTCTATAGAAATAAACAAGTATCCTTCACGCGGACGTATTCGCGGGCGTCTGCTAGTTAATATGAACATTCATTTCACTATTGTTAGTGGTGGGAACCTGACTTTATTTTGATTATAAAAATATTAGTCATTTAGATTGAATCTATGTCACCTAAGAGATTAAAGTATACATAGTGACAATGAACTATGAGACCCATAACAGACATGTTGTATATTTATCTTATTATAATGTTGTAGTTAAAATTCCTAAGTATATGAATGCATTATTTGCCTCATGACTTCTTAAGCAACTCTTTAGTTTATTCCTACCAGGAGATACTATTTAAGCTACAATAGAGTAATATGTCATGATAGTTTATTGTTGTTTCCAGTATTTCTAGATCCTATGTATAATTAGCTAATATAAAATAGCATCTTATTCTCAATTTAATAAGTACTATCTTGTTGTTCCTCTCTATGATGATTATAGTTAGGAAATGCTTCTGCAATTGGATATGTGGCCAGATAACGCTTTTCTATTCACGCCAATCCTGATAGCCACTTGCTTTACCATTTTATAATATTCTAGCTTGCCTGTGACGCGCCGTAAAATTGATAACAGATAAATTACCTTTCTAACGGTAAAGGAATTTTTAAAATCAGCTTACTTTTTAAACTTATTCATTACAATTAAAGTTTTTTTAATTCAGTAATGTAATTTGTTATCCATTAAAATTTAAATTCTTTACCATTTCTCCCTAATTAGCATTACCAAGTGAACATATCTATACTAATTATAAAGAGGAAAATTGTTTTTTTTGTATATATTGAAATAATTCAAAATCTACTGGGCCACTTCAGATATTCTTTCACCATTAAAAAGACAGATTATCTATGAGAAAGATACACCATGTATTTATTATTTTTAATTTCATGCAGATGAAGTGGCAAGCATCAAGTTGTTTATTACAAAAGTATGTATGAATTAATGTGTATATTGATACATACTCTTTGGTTTAATAATTAATTATTTAACAGCTTACTCACTTGGTTTAATTTAATAAACAAGACAAAATGTTAGCAAAGTTTCAAATACAAAGTAGCAATTAACCCATACAAAGTTTCAGTTTTGTGGTAACATTACAAACAGTTAGGAGCATACATGTGAGAGTCAAATTACATGTTTTGCATCATTTGCTTAACACATGCATGTTCATATTATGTTAACCTGAACCTGTAATAGCCATGTTAAAACTTCAGTTAACAAAAATAAAAGTAGAGTAACTTACTGGTAATTTAGAAAACAAAATAAAAGTTTACATTTGGTAAAAAATTAACAGTTATAGTGAACAAACCTATAGATACAGATTGGATCTTATAATGTGACTAACAATTCCATCGCATAAGATAAATGTTTACAAAATAATGCAATAAGAAAGGGACATTTTCATATAGTTATATGGGTATTTTTATTTAATGTATTAAAATATAATTTAAGAGATAAATTCAGTCAGTCATTTTAAAAAAATTAAACTTCTATCGCTTAAATAATAATGCAAATAAAAATAACTTACCGTCGTTGGAACATACGCCTTGTTAGCGGAAGCTTTCTCGTTCATCCATTTAACTGACTTGAGCTTTTCCCATGGTACATCGTAGTGAAAATAAATTTTGCTCTGGTTGAACTTAGATTTAAATTTCATTATTATCACAGAAAATAAGCTTACAACGTCACCCATTTGCCCTACGTACTAACGCAATAGGAGTTAAAAAGTTAACTGGTCATGAGACCAATAACATTACGCTTAATCTTAAAATGATGTTAAGATTCATGCTGGTAACTCATATTTAAATTTTCTGTAACACATTTTAAAGAAATCTAATATATTTCAACCACCCCAAACGATTTCCCACCATACATGGCAAAAGGCGAAAGCGAACTGTCAAAAATCAAACAAGCGGGGAACGGGGTGCGGCAGGGCGCGGGCGCGACTGCGTTGTTCACACTGATCTGTATAAATGGATAGGTCCTTGTTTTGAAATGACAGATTTATTTTTTCCTAGCTTTATCTCCATTTTTAGTTCAAATCTTCACCATCTATGGAAAAATTGTAATAAAACACCCACAAACATTTATTAAGACTTATTATTATAGAAAACATTGATGAAGAATATGCCTCTAACAATCTCATTTATTAATAGTTTCTGAAGATAGCATTTGATAAAATATTGCATTACTAATACTGCACTACAAGAACAATGTGTTTAGTACACTTTAAAGGGTTATTAAAGAGGAAATGCAATTTTTTTTCTGCTCATTCTTACTATACATAGCTAATTCTCAATGCTACTTGTTAGCAAAAACTTACAAAAAAAATCTTAAAAATAATTGTATATTGCCACTTTTATCGCTTTTGACAACAATGTGCTTGAGCTGTCTCTATACTTAGATGGCTTAATGTTACAAAATTGAAACGAATATAATATTTCTTTCATCCTCATCCCATTCACAGTTGATTATGAGATCAATAAATTATTTCAATATGATTCCAGTTGGAACCCCATATGTGACTTAAAAATTGCTCTCAAAAATTTGCAACAATCTTTTAATCTCTGCAATTCTTGCTGCCTGTGCTTGGACCGGAATCATTGCTTGGGAAACCTCTTCACCTTTTGCTAATATAGTGTACATACTTTTTATATTGTTGTCCATAGCATCACATGTCTTACCAACAGCATCTTTATATACATCCATATTCTCTGCAGTAAGTGATGAATTTGCATGCAAAATATTTGACAAGTTTTCTATTAGATTATCTACAGATTGAGCTATTTTTTGAGCTTCATATTCTAAGTCATTTAATACTGTTATATCAATCTGGCCAATTTGTGGAGCTAAAATTTGGCGGTATAATTTACCAGAAGGTGTACTGGATCTGGACACACTAGAACTACCAAAAACAGGAGTCTCTCCTCTTTTAGCAATGGGACTAGACAGTTTGATTTTAAATTCAAGGTCATCTGCGACATAGTGTGTCATATCGCCTTCGTAACGTACGTGACCACCTATGTCGAGTGGCAGTTTATCTTGTCTACGATTTTCGGATGGTAAGTCATAAGGTCTTGAGGGCCCAGCACTCCTTTGGTCGTCATTTCCTTGTCCGTGATCCGAATTAAATGATATTTCACTGTAAGACGCTGTCATGCGAGCTGAGATATCTTCGTCCAAGTCTCCATCCCCTTGTTTTTGTGTTGAATCATCAGTTATGTTTTTCTCATTTTGTGTAGGAGATAAAGACCCATTCGGGCTTTCCGACATGATCAGTTAATACCGATATAAATGAAATTGGTCACTAAACGTTGTTAACACTTTAACTTAATATAAATTTGTATAATTTAAGATAAAATATATCAAATACAATACTTTGTTGAAACTTGTTTGGGTTTTTTTATTTTGACTTTGACAAGTGAGAAACTTGCATTGCACTTGCACAAAATAGTAACATATCGATTTTACAGTTACAAGTTAGACGCTTATAACATACCGCTTTTTTAAATTCTTCAATGAAAAAATGAGAATAAAAAAGAGATGTTACTCTTGCCACAGCAACGTAAGTAACAAATATTATAGCTTTATTGATAAAGGACCTAAACTTTTATTGTGCTAGAACTATGTATCCGAACTGTTAAGGAAAATGTCAAATTTGCGGGAATTTTTGACACTTGTCAATAAACAGTGATTGTGAATTCATTTTGAAATCATCGATTATTAAGTTAAAAAGTCTTTACTTGTGTTAAAGCTTGGTTTTAGAATAAGTGAGGTAAGCGACAACAAAATGATGTTCACGCTGAATTCAATCGCACCAAAATTGTTATGAGTGTAGGGTCTACAAGGCTTTCTGATTAAAATGGCGTTCAGTAACGACATGTGCGGACGATAACGTTCACCCTTTGTCGCCTGAGCTTTTTAAAGAGTGTTCGGACATTTATATTTCTTATTTTGGATTTTACCTAACAATTTATGTCTGTTACATAAGTCTATTTAGGGCCTGATCGTATTTTTACGACATAATAGAAACCACTGCTATGGTGAAAACCCGACGCAGTAATGGAGAGAATGGGGAGGTTGAAGATGGGAATTTTACATTAAACGACGTTGTCAGCGTCTCTGACGAGAAGGTGAACATGCAACAAATGATTTTGTTTCGATATTGCGCGATTTGCACGATTGCTTTGTTAGGATGATCCTTTGAAATCGACTTCCTGTTACATGAGTTATTAGACTCAAGCATATTAAGCGATTGCTCGAACTTGTATTGCATGGGCTTTGAATGCTTTTTGTATAATAGGACCTTTCTAATTTTTTTATTGTTTAGGTTTCTGAATTATTAGAAATTGCAATGATGTCATCAAAGACAACATATTTCTTCTCAAACTAGTTTTCCTTCCTATGTACATGGTGATGTGTAGTGCATGAATGTAACAGTGAGCAACCAGTTGTTTTCTGAATGATTAGAGAATGATGTAACTGTTACCTATGCTTGTGATCTTAAGTATAATTTTTTGATTAGGCATCAAATTGGTCTCCTCGCGAGCTAAGAAGTAGCCAGTATAAAGTCAAAAGAAAAATACAACACTGGCCGACAAAACGTAAGTATAATTAGGGTTTAACATTATATCATGATTTAATACAACTATTTAATAATTCCTTCTAATGTTATTACTAGTCTCATGTAAATATAGCATAAAAGTCAACATACAATGTACTGTGTTCACAGATAGCCGGAGCAGACTTAGAAGAATAAGGATGCCACAAATAGTATTTCCAGAAAGCGATACAGAACCTGAGAAGTATTCTAGAAGGTAAACCACGAAATGTCTATACCATATTTCCACTATTCTTAATATTTGGATTGATTTGTTGTTAAACATCGGTTATTAGAAAATATTATGCTTGCACAGTCATATTGAGATATTGTTTGTCCTTAGTAAGTTACTAAATGTATGAATGTTTCTTAAAATTTAATACATCTATAAGTTAGTCAGTTATTTCTTAATTCTAGTAATTCCACTGGTTGTTTGATCTCTTTTAAAAAATGTGGTTATTCCGAAGTCATGTTTTTATAATGGCATTTTTAAAATCTTACTATAATATTATAAATGCGAAAGTTTAGATGGATGGATGGATGGATGGATGGATATATGGATGGATGTTTGTTAGCGTTTGTAGCCTAAACGGCTGAACGGATCTCTATGAAATTTGGCACAGGATTAGAGCATAGTCTGGAAGAACACATAGGCTACTTTTTATCCCGGGAATAGTAAGGGTTCCCGTGTGATTCATTAATTTAGTTTTTTAATGTTTACTTGATCATTCTGCAACGGTTCAACATATCGGATTGAAATTTGGCACAGATATAAAACAAAGTCTGGAGTACACATGGGATAAGCTTCATCCCCGAGAAATGTCCGGTTCCCGAGGGATACGTAACTTTTTGTAATTTATACAGTTTGTTTGTTTTCTAATACCACGCGGACGAAGTCGCGGGCAACAGCTCGTATACCATATTTTTGTTAAATAGTATTTATGTGTCAGGTCCCGTCAAGTGCGAGTATTCTTTGCGGATGACAATGAGTCCAGTAACAGGAGTATGCAAATCCGACGCAATCGGGGACCCAGGAAGAATTATATGGAAGACAGTGAAGACAAGCCAATACAACAAAGTGAGTTAATTCTTTGAAAGATTTGTTTGACTGTAAAGTGTTAAAGTTTCTTTACTATATTCCCATTACAATGACTCAGTGGTGCAACAATCTATGTCTAGAATTCTATTTTTGTATGTATTGAAATAACCAAAAGACCAGGCCGATTTGAAAAAATCCTTCACTGTTAGAAAGCTAATTTATCTGTGAATAATAGGTTATATTTCTTAATTTCACGCGAACGTAGTCGCGAGCAAAAGCTAGTATTATATCTAGCTTTAATCCACAGCTATGTCCATCAACATTCACTATTTTTTACCACTGAAGGTTCGGAGCCCATGCTAAATTATGGGTTAGTAACCCATAGCCATAGTCAAATTAAAAATTAAATATTGGAATTAAAAAAGCACTTAGCAGACTGTGTTCTACATCTGTGCTGAATTTCATTGAGTTGTTGTTTCGGAGATACTTTCTAACAAAAATACATCCATACATCTGAACTAAGTAAGATTATCATTTTCTATTGTAGGTGTAATGTGTGAGCTTAAAGGTTCTTTCTCAGATGTGAGACGAAGCTGCCGCAAGCGCAAGCTGCTGCACCACAACTTCAATGAGAGCTGGATCACCAATGAGCTGAAGGTGAAGGGCTATCCAGACCTCTATGGCTTCAATGGATCTAGTTCCTCTGATGAGTTCAGTTCTGGAGATGAGGCTGTTGTCACCAATAAGAAAATGGTATGTAATTTTGTGTATACTAAACTTTGCTATTTGTAAATGTTCTCGGAATAGTAAATGTCTCTTAGCGTAAATTTCTTGTTGAGGGGGCCCTAATGGCCCCTGCTGCTATTGCTGAAGCAGCAACCTTGGTACCTGGGATATTATGTTACTGAAAATATTGATATTAACGACTATCTTCCATATTTTATTTATTTTTTTACTATTTTTTTTAATCTACACTAAGTGACCAATTAAATTAGTAGTTGTGTATCTAGAAGTTTTATAATTTTAGCCTCAAAATCATATACCAACCAACACAGACGAGGATACACAATTATCGCGACAGAGAAGAACTTCAGCCAGGTTTAATAACAAAAAGGTATGTTGCATAATAAAAAAAAGTAAAAAAAAACACAATCTTACATTTGAAAATTAAGGACAAATCCCCGGGTTCGTTTAGTTGAAATATAATTAACTAGTTGTTAGCCCGAGTCAAATTAAAAAAACTAAATCAAACTAAAAAAACTACCCTGATAGTTTAATTTTTTTGTTATATTTACAGGATGCAACAGAGTCGGAATCAGAAGATGAAAATAATCAAACTGTAATAGAAAAAAAACCGCAACAGGAAAATAAAGAGGAGGAAAAAGATGTTGATGTTAAGGAAGATGTTAAAAAGATTAGTAAGAGTGATCCGGAACAATCCAACCAGAACCAGGATAGTGAAAGGTTGGTTTTTGTAGTGTTACATATTTTTGATTTTTTCAGTACTAGCTGTTGCTCGCGACTTCGTCCGCGTGAATTCAAAAATATTAAAAAATACAACCTATGTTACTTACATATAAATTACCTTTATAACAGTGATAGAATTTATAAAAAACCCAGTAGTTTTTGAGTTATATCAATACATACAAAAATACAAATCATTCCTTTTTATAATAGTATAGATTAGCAATAGATTATGTGTTGATATTTATGAAAATTATCTTTTATTCTAGTAATCAAGGACCTGCGAGATCAACTAGGGGTAGAGGGAGAGGTAGGCGAAGGCAAAAGAAAGAAGATAGTCACCAAGATACAGGTAAATATCTACCTTATGATACTTGACATATTTTGTGGTGATGTAATTTTTTTTTGTTTTCTTAAGAAATATTTTTAATATAAAACTAATATGAATGCGAAAGTTTGGATGGATGGATCGATGTTAGAGTTTTTTCGCTCTAAACGAATGGATCTCATTGAAATATTGCATACATGTAGAGGATAGTCTGGAAGAACACATAGGCTACTTACATTTTTTTCTTTATTTATTATCACGTATAGTCGCGGGTCAAAGTTAGTTTATAATAAAATATGTATGACAAAAAGTATAAGAAGGGAAAAAATGTTTTAGGAATGAAACCTCTTTTAACTATATTTGTCACTGTCAGATTGTGTAATTATTCTGTGTCAAAATCTGTCTTTTTTGACAATTTATTTGGATTGTTTACTTCTTTTAGTATTCATTATTTTTGTTTATAAAATTAAATGTTTCTATGCCGATAATAAATTAAGGTTTTTGTTATCATGCTTTTGAATATACCGGAAGGTACCGCGACTGTTAAAAATTACGGGTAGGTATTGTGTTAACCGTTTTTTTTGAAGTGGAGTAAATTATTATATAGTATTTTTTTTACATTTTTACTGTTAAAAAGGACAAAAAAGTACCTCTTTTAACAGGCGTTTGTCTATTTGCGTTATTTTTTAGTTGTGATAATATATACGTACTTCAAAGACTAATCTTTTGGTAACACATTTTTTCAACAAGTTTAAGATATAATAGCTATCTGGATATCAACAACAACCGTACGAGTGTTTGTCGTTTTTACTAAGTAAATTAGACACAATCTAATCTATCCTTTTGATGGATTTCGACCGTCGATTTTTTTGGTAGTGGGTTTGAATCCTGCTATTGAAATGTTGCTGTAAACTGTATCCTAACAAGCCTTGAGCATAATTTGCTATGGTAACATAAAATGTGTGCTAAATCTTACTAGTATTATGAATGCGAAAC